CTGACAATGGAACACGCGTAATTTATGCAGTACAAATTAGAATTCACTGTCTTCTCATAGGTAACTTTTTGATGTGTGAGTTTTTTCCCTCCGGATTCATCGTGGCGTCATTGTTTACATTTTTGCTCATTAGCATACAAGTTAACCCATGGAAGATGTAGTCGTATACAGCTATTTCGAGAAAGGTTGTCGGAGAAAGTGCACGCACACAATCCCGAAAGGTATTGTGGGTGGTTTTGAATTCACTGTTCTTCCCCACCTTTTAGAGTCATATTTGAATTGTTTGTTTTTTGGGGGGGTATGTCTGCGAGAATGTCTTCATTTCACGGTTCCGTCAGAGAAATTTTAAACGTTTTTCCGTATCTTTCACAGGGGTGATATCTTTGATACCCAGCTTGAAAAATTTCACTTGTTTTATTTTGTCCGAAAGGTCCCTAAATCTATCATTAATATGTCTTAACTTTGCAGTTAAAATTCTGAAGAATATTTATTTAGATGACAGATTGCATATGAGTGAATACTAAAGACAGTTGAATGAAGAAATGTTTAAGGTTCTAATAGCAGTTTAGAAACTTTCACGTCGCCCTTTAACACTAAATTCGAATAACTTTCTTTTCGTATTTGCAATTTGAAACATCATCGACATGAACAGTTAGTCGATAGTTTGTCTCATGTTTGACACCTTATCATTGAACAAAGAGGGCTTGGATATACTGTTTGTTTGGTTTTCTTTCTTACTGAGATCAACATTCAGTAGCTTCGAAATGTTACGAAATTGCCGTCAATTCATATTCAGTTAAGAACTGAAACGCATTTTCAGAAATCACTGAACGTGACGTATTAATGCAAACTAAGGATTTCTTCAATTCAGCTCGTTTTAGAGTAGGAAAACAAACAATCCTGGTCAAAACGTTCGGGACACTTAGTTCCATGTCATAGAAAATTTAATTCAAGTCAAGCCCCTCTAGCCTCCCACGCAGGCGTTTTTAGGGGAGCTCGTCTTTCATACCTCCCCAGGGGAGGGACGAGAAAGGAGCTCCCCTCAAAACGCCTGGGTGGGAGGCTAAGCCCCCTCCCCCCTGAACAGTAATGGGTGTTAGAAGTCAAACGCCTTTTACATAACTTGAACAGGTTTGATCCGGGAGGGGGGCATTAGTTAGGCGGTTTGAAGTTGTTTTGTCGGTTAGCTACAAATTCCATACAAATAAAAACACGTGAAAAAGGAAATGTCTTGAAACCTTTTGGCCAGGATTGTAGAATAATCTGGATGTCCGGTTTTAATCGTCCAATTTGTACTAAAACCTCGAACTTCAATGGTAGATACCTGTCGCGCTTTGCAATTAACAGGCCATCGTACCTTGTATAAACAAAACTTACTTTGAAAGAACAGGCCATCTCACCAACCTCGTTCCCAGGGCTCTCTCCTACCCGTCCCTACTCCTCGCTCCGTAGGAACGGGTATAGGAGAGAACCCTGAGAACGAGGTTGGCCATCTCACTTAAGAACAAAATGGCCTGTCGCACTTCGTAATAACCTGCCATCGCTCTCTGTAATGAAATAGAGTGTTTTCACATGACGTCACAGCGGCCATATTGGTGTCAAAAAACAATAAAACGACGGCCATGTTTGTTGTTCCAAACCAACCCTGTGGGAGTTGAAAACTTTTCTTGTGCATACGCTTTCTTTTGTTCCAATAAATATGCGTAGATGCTGGCCACTAGAGTGAAAACACTCTATAGCCTGTCGCACTTTGTAATGACCACCCTAAGGAGGGAGGGCATTATCCGATTTAATGCCACTGTCCGTTGTTCCAAAACTTGTGGCCACTAAGGTGAACTGCGGCTCGTCCCATTTATTGAAAATGATTAACTGTTGAAAACAATTCAAAGGTGCTTCAATCTAAACGGTTGTTGAGAATTGCCGTCCGAAAATGAATACCGTGCTTCTTCTGAGTTATTTAGGTTGTGTAGTTTATTTTCGCGGTGAAATTTTGGGGTAAACTTTGCTGTTGTGTTTGTTAATGTTTGTTTGTTTGTTTTATTTTTTCTTTTTTGTTTTGTGTGTGTGTGTGTGTCTTAAACGGTTCGTTTGTTTTGTTTTATTTATTTATAATTTTTGTTTTTGTGGATCATAAAAGACTACCCAAAAACTAGTCGGAACCTGCTTAAGTTAATTGTTTAAGTAAAGGTTCACGCAGTGAAAAGGTGACACGAACAAGATACGCAGGAAGAGATACTCTAGTGATATACCAGCATCCCTGCGACGAGTGCCAAACGTGCTTTGCAACGAAGCCTCATGTTCTTTTCTCTAAATAACACTTTGCATGATCGTATTTTAACACTGACTTATTGGTTGTATGATGTGGAGTCTACCGTCTATTCATTTGTAAAAATGTGTCTCACCAAGCGTAACGGTTTGCCTTGAGAGGCGTTCTTAATCGCCCCGAAGGTCTCGTTTGGTGTGACATAAAAATAGATCTCGTAGTGTTCCTATGACAGTGTTTCGTATCTGTTTCATCTTCCAACTGTAGATCAGTGGATTAAGGGTTGAATTAAGAAACGACAGGGTCAGAGTATAAAGCCACAAAAGCTGTACATCGTTCCTTTGTTCGGAAATGGTAGCGATAATAAATAAGCTACAAATATGAGGCAAATAACAAACTATGAAAACCAGATAAACGAAAAGCGATGCCATCGCAGATTTCCTTTTTCTTAAAACAATTTCGCCTTGGTCATTCTGCGGTTCTTGCGGGACTTGAATATGGTTTATGTGGCGTCTTAGAGTTAGATAAAGTTTGACGCTCAGGGAAGTTGCAGTTATAATACAAATAGACATAATAATGACGAAAATCAGGTACATGATATTTTTTGGGATGAAAAATCTGACCAGTGAAATAAGTGCGCTGAGTACCCAGATTGAGGTCACTACAGCAGCATTGCGTTTGTATGTCACTAGTTCCTGGTATCTGAGGTGAAGGTAAATTGCCAAAAATCTGTCTGCACAGAGAGCCGTGACACTAAACAATGACGCGAAAAGGAAGAAATTCGTCGAGATAAGAAACGCGATATATATGGCAGTATAAGTTTCATTGATTTCATTCTTTTGTTTTGAGTTCATAATATATGCAGCAAACATTGGTTGAGCTAGTAAACCAACACCGAGATCAGAAACAGCCAGACTCAGTAGCAGTGTTTTAAAATTTTTTGACAAGGATGGAGTTTTCTGATCGCGTAGATTGCTACAACGTTCAGCTATAGTTAGTAGAGGGGTGCTTTAACATGTGCAGGTTTTGCTGATCGACTTTCTTTTCCTTTCCTTGCATTTTCGACAGAGCTTACAAATTCATCACATTCATTGCAGATATCAACTTGCTGGTACAACAGCAGACACCCTTTGGCTCTCCAAAATCCCCTATGTGGGAACTGCTGCTCCTCTTCTTCTTCCCCAAGTGAATCATGAATTACTGGTATGACATGATGAAACATTTTGCCACTAAGTTCCAAAGTTGAAACTCCATCACACAATCTGTACCCCTCCAGTTCCTTAATTAAGTTGGACACAGTAACATTTTGCACTGTTCGGCGATACTGGAGGTATATAGGATGATCCTCTGGTAAATATGAACCAAAAACCTTCACAGTAAAGCCAAGACTGTCATCCACAACAATTTCCAACTGTGGAAGCACGTATGGATCCAACCTTTTCTTCAGCAATGTGCTGTCCTCCTTGATCTTCATTTTCCAATTTTTAAGGCTTTTTAGGCTTTTAACTCCCTGACAAAGTTCGTTAAATCCCTTATAATAACGGTTTGGAAGAGGCTCCTTGTTATCTTTTACAATCGATCGTTCCGGACGTGGTGTAGGCTTGCGGCTTTCATGACGTTTCTTTGGCAAGTTTAGCGTCGGTAAAGCACCAAATCTGGGCTTCTTTTTGGTCATTTTCTCTGAGTGAACTATGAGAGAAAGGTTAAAATTGTCATATTTCGAAATAGTTAGACAAAAACTATGTCCGCTTTCAGAAAGAACTTCAGACAGCAGATCAAAGCACCGGTCAAGGGCCGTCAAGAAATATACGAAAAACACAAATAAAATTCACACAATCAAAGGAATAAGTATACTTACATATTTCGATATCTTCAGGCGCAAAATGCCTCTCACAAGTATAAATTCTGTCGTTCTTTAACTGTTCCCTGAAATTCTGATCCATTTCTCTGGTCTTTTTTATCTCGCCAAGCCATTCGTCTCGCCATTTTCCATGTGCTTCGTCCTTTGCTAAGGGTAGCTTCCAAATACCCATTCCCTTAGTCCTTTTACACGAACCACAGCTAAAGACGGAACATTTGACCCCCGGCATAACATAAATATATATTTCTGGCGAAATAATAAGTATATAGTGCTTAAACACCCGGAGAAAACTAACGAATAGCGCACTAATAACAACGAGAGTACTCGATCGATGGACGCCACATTGGATTTTGTGTGCACTTTCGCGATCACGTGACAATGCAAAAATCATAACAAAGACATCGCTCTCTGAAGCTCGCCGACTTTCATAACCAGCCACCTCTACTAACTATGGTCTCAGTAAGATGGCTGTTCCACAATGTTGTAAAACCGCGCAAACGATTTAAGTGCAAAAAAATGTAGATATCGATTTCTTACTCAGTGAACTAAATGAATAAATAAATGAATGTAAAAGGGATTTGGTAGCGACTTTTAATTAAGAACTCATTTCAACTCGATTGTAAAAATATTCCAGCTGTTATTTAAATATTAAGAGGTTTCTTAACTCCTTCATAAAGGTGTTGTGTTCACTTGAAATTGACATTCATCAGGATAGACGACACGGACAGATTGTATATAAAAGAATCTTTGTTTACGTTTTTTTGCTCATTTATATACCCTTTTCTTTTGATCAAGCTGTTAAGATACCATCCTTATTTATAAGTAGAGCATAACCACATAAGTTATATTTGAAAATTTCCCGATTAGCGAACAGTTTCGGAGAAATTCTCCTTTAAGAGCGCGAAATTTAGAAAGAATTTATGGTCTCATTAACGTTGTTGCCACCTAGCAATTTTGCAGTCCTCGGTGGCTGCTATTTTCTTTGTTATAACAAATCAATTTAACGAGCTCATTGACCTCGACGAAAATTCACCTATTCGTTTTGGTTACGACTAAAGCAGTTGAATCAGGGACAGTGAGGATAGTTATCGTTTAAAAAGTTCTGCCACAGCATTCATCTTTTCGTTTTGTACCGCATCAAATAACAACGGAGGTTTGAAAACTACTTATTTTCTTTGTTGCTGAGCTGAGATTGGTTGCTAGTTAATTGGTTAACTAGTGTTACATTAATAATTGCAGCCCACTCTTGTCACCTGCAATCCTACTTTCCAGGCTCCTTTTACGCATGCTTGGCACGTTTTGACATAAAGAAGGGGGGAGGGGGGGGAGAGAAAGGAAAAACATACAATATTACGCGTACAAAATGAAAGTAATCATTTCTAATACAACTTAATTATTTAATAATAATTAAGAATTGCTAAGCGAAAGTTACTCTGTCGTTCTATTTTTGCAATTTGCACGATTGACGACTTGCATCTCATTTTGTTATAATGTGGGATGGATAATGTTTCGATTTCGACTCCCCGTTACACATGTTTAGGAGTAACGGCATTTTTGGCTCGGGATTTTGAATCCTCTTGAGAAAGGTCCGCAATATTGATAGAGCATGTGCTGGTTGTTCACAATTTACGCAAAGAAACCGCTCAGATAAGGATTTGGGTAATGATAAGCAAAACTTAGGACTGGTTGATTTCGTTCGGGAATCGCGTTACCATTAACCGGGCCTTTCGCTACTAATAGTAGCTAGAAAATCTCTTTTTGTAAAATCTTACGAAATAAATGGTCACACCATAGGATTTCGTCCACAGACTCAAAAGTTAGAACTACTTACTAAATAAATAGTACCATGTGAAAGTACTGCTGAAGAGGTTTCATTTGAATGGTAACACCATAATATTTTGTCCACAGATTTAACAGTTAGTATAACAAATTATGTGCCGTAGCTTGGTCTTGAACTGAACGTATTTCTCATGAAAGTGTTTTTTTGTCATCGAGGAGTCCTTTGTACGCTAACTTTTAGTTTTGAAGTGGAAGGTGCCTTGCGTGGGACCTGTAGTAAGAAGCCCCGTTGTTGCCCATTCCCCTTGGGCAGGTCTCTGCCAGAAAAGCTGATAGGATGAAGGAAAGCAAGTTTCTTACCGAGTTTGTTTCTCTACAGCATTATTCCTGGTAGATGCAGTAAATGAGATGTATCTATGGCATGGCTGGTGGCCGAATGATGAAGATTCAGAATCCAGAGCTTCCACAACTGGTTCTGCGGAAACGCGTTGGAGTAATGACCGAAGATTGGCAATGGAAACGATAAAGTCTTACGCTCAAGGTACTGTTTTATTCTTCCCCGCCACCATCAACGCGTCGCCCCCTCCCCAACCCGCTTAAGGTACTATTTCCTCTCCCACACACGGGTCTGGGAATTTAAATCTCTCTAGAACTAGTTTGGAAACAACTTACGTCTGAGCCCTCCCATTCTTTCTGCAAACCTTGCGTTCGTTGATTTCGCCTCGGTCAACATTTCATTCCAACTCTCTATACCTGGGTCTCCGAGGGTAAGGAAGTACAGTTAAACCCCCAATAAGCGGCTGCCCTCGGGGTACTGGCAAGTGGCTGCTTAATAGGTTCTGCTTAATAGAGCTGCTCAATAGAGGTTCTTCATGTAAATTAGCATAATCGTGAGTAGAAACATTCCTTTATTTGGAAACTAACACGCGACTGAAGCAGCGTTTTTGCTCCGCACCTTTTTTCTCGGACTGTATTTTCCCTCATTATATTTTTAAAATAAAGCCAAAGTACGTGTATCAAGCGCTTGCTGGCCGCTTAATTGATGTGACGATTACAATTATTTCGGGACTTTGATTACTGTCCGCTTATAAGTGGCCGCTCAGGTGAGGTTCGACTTTATATACTTGGGTACTAAACTTGTTTTTTTATGTTTGTGTGTTTGTTTGTTTTAGGCAAAAGACCTCGAATTTCTAGTTTTCCCTACATTAACCATGAAGTCATTTTTTGTTATCAGAACTTGAACACGATTTCTCCCAAGTATTTATTGTGTTTGCTGGTCTGGAACCAAAGTCCTTCCAGAATCTTTTCCCCTTCTGGGAAGACCGACCAGATGTAGCTAAAATAAACCTATCGGTAAGTACTTCTTCTATTACATTTATTTAGTGTTTAATGTGAAATTTACCCCTTCCAGACTCAATTATTTGCCAATAAAAGCCTATTTTAATAGATACAGCAATTTAAGAAACAATTTCAAGGACCTCTAGGCTGTTTTCACACATCCTATAAGTAAGAAGCGTACCAGCTCGAAGATGTACATCATAGGTTTTTTATGCGGCTGTTTATGAATTACAATATGACTTTCCTTCTTGATCCTTCTTTCAAACCATTCAGGGGAACATTTTGTACAAGGCTTTTGTGTGCTGGTTTTCTCTGAAAATTAGCCCAGGTTCAAAAACGTTTGACTGTGAACTCTTTCTGTTTTGTTGCTTTTAGACTGGAAGGGTTGATGGAGATATTCTAAAGCTGGAAACGGAACTTGCAAAACTTTCGAGGTTTGTCTTTTTGCATTTGGTCCCGGTGGTGGTGTGAATACATTTATTCCTTCAATTAATTATAAATTTATTAATTTATCTCTCAGTTTATTTATTTATTTATTTATTTATTTATTTATTCATTTATTGTAAATTAAACTATTAAAGCATTTATTCCATTTTTACGGCGTGCATAAACTAGGGAGAACCGTGTTTCTTTTATCAGAGAGAAAAATTTCTAATTTTGTTGATCGACTGTTTTAACATTTACTCTTTACATCAACTCTTCGTTTTTTGACATGTAGAAAAGAGTACAGCTTGGAGGAACTCAAGCAAAAACCACCACCTGAAGGAGTGGATCCCTCGAGACTTGAAACATACCTTAGCGAAGCTGACTTCGAGGTACGAACTGTATTTCTCTTTGAACTGCCTCTTCAGTCTCTGCAACATGACTGCTGGCAAATAAAACAGGCCTTTTAAAAAAGGGGTTTATGAATTATTCATTAAAAAGCCCCTGAAAAAATATCCGACACCACTACTGGTTTAGACTGCGAGTGGTCCCCATTTGGCCTTTCGCCTTTCGCCTTTCTCGTGTGGGTTGATTTTCACGCGCGCTCGCGTTTCTTCGCTCTACTCCTCTCCCTGAGGGAAAATCGGGACTACTCGTATTCTACTGCTGGTTTCCCTGCGTAGAGTCGACTAAGGAAAGAGCGCAGAAATTCCATACTGATAGCGATTTAGCTAGTGCTTCTGATTGGTTGAAGCAAGTCGCCCTTTTGGTACGACCAATCAGAACTGAAGTACTACCCAGATCGTGGCAGTGACATGTCATCAGCTGGGAATTTCTGCCCTCGCTCCTCAGGGGAAACCAGTAGTGGCGTCGCTAAGTGTCCGCTGTCTTCTCAGGCTTATGAATTAAAAGTTTTTTTGGTTTGTCCCTTTCGCAGAAAGCGTTTAACATGACCAGAACCGCTTTTGATGCTCTGGCAATGTGGAAGAAGACGAATCTTAGGAAGAAAGCTGGCCTTTTCTAATGTATTGCCATAAGATGCCAGACATGTTACTACAAAATTTAATTAGAGATAGCTATGTTTTTTAAACGACGATACACTCCCTTCCTTCATTGTTTTCGTACAAGGATGTTGGTTTCCATTTAAAGCTTGACTTAAAACATCCTTTTTCAAAATTCGATGTTAATCGACTTTTTTGAAAAAAAAAAATGCGTAGTTAAGAAGATGTTGAATTGCAAAACCATAGCTTTTGCAGTGTTAATTTCCCAATAAGCTCTGTGGTCTGTGATCAGTAGGTGGTTAATCCACCAGAAAGGTTTTGTCCTACGGGACAAAATGGAAAGAATTGTCGAGTTGATCTGGTGGGTTGGTTATTGAATGTGTTCGAATTACTGTCTTAAAGACACGGTTTTCCTCCAAAAGCAAGAAAGTAGAGCTAATAACGAGAAATAAGGGATTTGCCGCAAAATGGAAATTTTAACTTTTTCTCATTACAAAATACTCTAATATGGCGACCTTTTCGGCTTGCTCACAAGTCACGTGTTCTCCTCGTGGAGTGGTTACCAGTACTCCACGATAGAAATAGCTCAGGCAATAAAGGTGGAAACAACATGCAACAGATAGAAAGCTCGGTAGCCATGGTGACAAAACCAATAGAATGAGAGGAATTTGCAGCTTGTGATAAGCTATTTTCCTACTTCGTTTGACAAGGAGAGTTGGCTTAATCAGTTCGATAAGCTTAAACAAAACTTGAAAAAACAATTGGAGAGAAAAAAGGGGGAAAATGTCAACCAATGTAATGTGCTTACATAGCAAAAGTGACAATGATGGCTAAGCTATGGCGCTGTTATCGAGTTTCTTATTTTAAATTACCCGATAAGGTTCACAGTAAACTAGGTGAATTCATGTATTTTTCTAAAACCGAAATTAAATTTTGTAACAGTAATAATTATTTTAATTGGTAATGCGTATCTTGTAACAAAAGTCATTGTAGAGCTTTCAACTGAGAGGTGTTGAATCTATTGTTGTTTCTGACCTAGAATTTGAGGGCCTCAAGATTTGCAAAAATTAGCTTTAATGATTTCTGTGAGAGATGAAAACAGTTAAATTCTTCCGAATTCTCCCATTTTTCTCGCGTCTTATGTCTGAATGAATGCTTTTAAGCCTCTTTTGGGAGTTAAACCAGTTGGTCCCCAGACCTCACGCTCCTCTTGCTGGCAAGTGGGACATAGACTGTCGCATAGTATTCTCTGGTAGTACCGCTGACCAAACGCATGCAATACTGTATTCTAATTCTAGAAAAATTAATTAGACACGTGATAATTGAAGGCGTACA